ACAGGAACATCAGACCACAGGAACATCAGACCACAGGAACATCAGACCACAGGAACATCAGACCACAGGAACATCAGACCACAGGAACATCAGACCACAGGAACATCAGACCACAGGAACATCAGACCACAGGAACATCAGACCACAGGAACATCAGACCACAGGAACATCAGACCACAGGAACATCAGACCACAGGAACATCAGACCATCAAAACATCAGACCACAGGAACATCAGACCACCAGAGAACATCAAACCATCGGAACATCAGAACATCAGATAAACAGAACACCAGACCATTAGAACACCAGAACATCAGACCAGCAGAACAACCAATGCACCCCTTCTTCTCACAGTGTCACACAAAGAATGTTCCAAATTCATTTTCTTTGGGTTTGATGTAAATATGTGTAAATATGTGTAAACATGTGTAAACATCATGTATAAACATGTGTAAATATGTGTAAACATCATGTATAAACATGTGTAAATATGTGTAAACATCATGTATAAACATGTGTAAACATGTGTAAACGTGTGTAAACGTCTAAACGTGTAAAGATGTGTAAACATATGGAAATGTTTAGAAATATGGAAACATATGGAAACATGTGTAAACAGGTGTAAACATGTGTAAAAATATGTAAACATGTGTAAACATGTGTAAACGTGTGTAAACGTCTAAACGTGTAAAGATGTGTAAACATATGGAAATGTTTAGAAATATGGAAACATATGGAAACATGTGTAAACAGGTGTAAACATGTGTAAAAATATGTAAACATGTGTAAACATGGGTAAACATGTGTAAACATGGGTAAACACGTGTAAACGTGTAAACATGGGTAAACACGTGTAAACGTGTAAACATGGGTAAACACGTGTAAACGTGTAAACATGTGTAAACATGTGTAAACATGTGTAAACATATGTAAACATGTTTAAAGATGTGTAAATATGTGTAAACATCATGTATAAACATGTGTAAATATGTGTAAACATCATGTATAAACATGTGTAAACATGTGTAAACGTGTGTAAACGTCTAAACGTGTAAAGATGTGTAAACATATGGAAACGTTTAAAAATATGGAAACATATGGAAACATATGGAAACATGTGTAAAAATATGTAAACATGTGTAAAAATATGTAAACATGTGTAAGCATGTGTAAAAATATGTAAACATGTGTAAACATGTAAACATATGTAAACATGGGTAAAGATGTGTAAACACGGGTAAACACGTGTAAACGTGTAAACATGGGTAAACACGTGTAAACATATGTAAACATGTGTAAACATATGGAAACATATGGAAACATGTGGAAACGTATGGAAAAGTGTAAACATATGTAAACACGTGTAAACGTGTAAACATGTGTAAACGTGTAAACATACGTAAACGTGTAAACATACGTAAACATGTATAAACATGTGGATACATGTGGAAACGTTTAAACATATGGAAATATGTGTAAAAATATGTAAACGTGTAAACATGTGTAAACGTGTAAACATACGTAAACATGTATAAACATGTGGATACATGTGGAAACGTTTAAACATATGGAAATATGTGTAAACATGTGTAAACATGTAAACATATGTAAACATGTGTAAACACGTATAAACATGTGGATACATGTGGAAACGTTTAAACATATGTAAACATGTGTAAAAATATGTAAACGTGTAAACATGTAAACATATGTAAACATGTGTAAACGTGTATAAACATGTGTAAACATGTGTAAACGTGTAAACATGGTTTAATGTGTTTAAAATATTTCCGATTGGAGACGGAGGAAAAAGGTCAAACTTGTCACCTGAGCGAAGATGAGGTCAGCGGTGAAGTTGATGCTGCTCAGTGTCTCGGCCTGCTCCAGGTCTCTCCTCTTCTGCTCCACCAGACTCTGGATGGCGTCCTGCAGCTCCTGGCTGTGAAGGAGACAGCAGAGATGAAACACTGAGAGGGACGAGGACATGTCTGAGAGGGACGAGGACATGTCTGAGAGGGACGAGGACAGGTCTGAGAGGGACGAGGACATGTCTGAGAGGGACGAGGACAGGTCTGAGAGGGAAAGTGAAGGTCCTCACGCTGCCGCCCGGTGCTTCTGCTGGAGCCAGCCCAACCTGAAGTAGACGTCAGGTTTGATCAGGACGCTCTGCCACGTGTCAAAGTACCTCTGGATCTTCAGCAGCAGCTCTGTCTCTGCACACAGAGGGACGAGGACAGATGTCAACAATCAGAACTGTCCTGCTGCTGAGACAACAACACATGGTTTCTGTCACCATTGAGAGGCACGTCCAGGAAGAGCCTGTTGGAGATGTCCACCACGGTGCCACGCAGCAAACTGAGCACGTCCACATGAGTCAAACTGTCCAGGGCGTCCAGGTGAGACTGTGTGGACGAGACGCAGACCTCCACGGTCTGCTGCAGGTTTGGACCCGTCAGAGCTGAAACAGAAGAGCTTAGATGATGTCTGCTGATTTCATCTGTCAGCAGAGTGAGGACAGAGAGGACACAGAGGACAGTGAGGACAGAGAGGACAGTGAGGACAGAGAAGACAGAGAGGACACAGAGGACAGAGTGAGGACAGAGATGCCAGAGAGGCCAGAGGACACAGAGGACAGAGTGCGGACAGAGAGGACACAGAGGACAGTAAGGACAGTGAGGACAGAGAGGCCAGAGGACACAGAGGACAGAGAGGACAGAGTGAGGACAGAGAGGACAGTGAGGACAGAGAGGACACAGAGGACAGTAAGGACAGAGAGGACCGAGTGAAGACAGAGAGGACAGAGAGGACCGAGTGAGGACAGAGAAGACAGTGAGGACAGAGAGGACACAGAGGACAGTAAGGACAGAGAGGACCGAGTGAGGACAGAGAAGACAGTGAGGACACAGAGGACAGTAAGGACAGAGAGGACAGAGTGAGGACAGAGAGGACAGAGAGGACCGAGTGAGGACAGAGAGGACCGAGTGAGGACAGAGAAGACAGTGAGGACAGAGAGGACAGTAAGGACAGAGAGGACCGAGTGAAGACAGAGAGGACAGAGAGGACCGAGTGAGGACAGAGAAGACAGTGAGGACAGAGAGGACACAGAGGACAGTAAGGACAGAGAGGACCGAGTGAGGACAGAGAAGACAGTGAGGACAGAGAGGACACAGAGGACA